TATAATATAAAACTAATATAATATCAATAAAATAATATAAAATAATGTTTAAAAATATCTATAATATTACAGTATATTGGTTTTTCGACATATCAAATTGTTACATGAAGTTACACAAACTGATGTACGAAAAAAATTGCCGTAAAAATAATCAGAATTATTAATAAAGACTCTCCAAAGCCACAAAATATAATAACATTCTTTAAAATCTTTATTCTTATCTTGTAACTAGGGTTGTTAACGGAATGGCATACTCTGGAGCCATTCCGAAGTGAGCCCAACCCAAGTTGGAGTGGGTTAAAAATATGCCTAAAAATCTGAAGTGAACTGGAGCAGCTTTAAGCAAACCTGGAGTGACAAGCTGAAGTGAGTTGAGGAGTTGCTTAACCCAACCAAACCCATTAACAACCCTACTTATAACGCTCCTTGACTATCGCCTTGACCTTGTGCCAAATCATAAAACTGCCTCAACCACCCATTGAGGAACGTTATGCGGCATACTCGATTTTCAAGCGACAATTCGTCGCATTTGCTTTACCTTTAAACCAGCCCTATTACCCTCTCACAATACAGATGTCCAGACCTGGAAGAACAAAGTGTTCCAGAAATCTATTGTTTATATGTAGTACTGTTATCAGTTAGGCCAGAACCCTTTGAGAATGTTCTATAGAGTAGGTGGGCAAACTCCGTTGAATATCCTCTCCCCCTATTTTTTAAATTTTTGCATGAAAAAAAAACACAATATTAACCAATAAAATTGCAGTATTGACGTTTTGCATTTTTACATTTTTCCGGTTTTGTATACCAAATTCGGACATTGTTGAATCAAACCACTTTTTCTTTTCCTTCTTCTATTCTTTGCTAATTTGCTTTTTTTCTTTTATTTGGGTTTTTCATCATTCGGATATTGTTGCAATCAAATTCGGACATTGTTGCAATCAAATTCGAACATTGTAGCAATCAAATTCGGATATTATAGCAATCAAATTCAGACATCAGTTAAATCAAATTTAGCATAACGATCGAATTTGATTTTACTGATATCCGAATTTGACTGCTATAATATCCGAATTTGGTTGCAACAATGTCCAAATTTGATTGCAACAATGTCCGAATTTGATTACAACAATGTCAGAATTTAGTATACAAAACCGATAATTACTTTATTTTTATTATTTGTTTTTTTTAATACCCTCCCCCACTATCATAAGCTACTTTCACGTTATGTTCAATCAAAATTTTCGCCCATATGGAAGATTTTGTTGATCATCATGTTTCCATCTGGATGTTCTTTCGAATAGGATGATAATCTGTGGTTGGAATCAGAGTCAATGAATATTATGAGTCATCATGCATTTTATGAATTTACCAATTTACCCCACCACTTCTAATTTGCTGTACTAATTATTCACTGAGCGGAGTACTTCAATTTTGTCTATTCCGATAATAAAGTGGGGGAAATTAGGGCACCCGCATTTTATGCCATCCTGCATAATACTAATGTTAACGTTTCAAAACTATATATGAATTGTTGTAAAAGCTTGAATGCTTGTTAGCATTATATGGTAAAATTATACTAGAGTGGTGAAATAATTTCACCAATCGGTAATGGTGTAATTGGCGAAATGGTGAAACGGTCAACTGGCCTCTTTTAACTAATAAATCCAGTTCTCTAAACGATAGCTGGCAATATCTATAAATATGGCCGGATTTGAACGTATATATGCTTGTAAGTCAATGCAGCAAGAATGGCAGACACTCTGAAAGAATCGTTGGATAGATCTATTTCTGAAATGTCCTTGCCAGATTTTGATCATAAACTTTTCACTAATATAAATCAAATTGATCAAGGAGGGTCAGGAATAATATATAAATCCGATTTTGGAGATTTCAAAACTGTCGTTCTTAAAAAACTTAGAATTCTAGATAATGATACTGCTAAAGAATTTATTAAAGAGGTATTAATTTTAGTTTGAGTGAAAAGTTGCCAACCTACTTTTTTTATAATTGTTATAATAACTATTTTATATCATAGCTTAAAGTTTTAAAAAAATTGTGTTTCCATGACAATATCATTGATTTCCTTGGAATCACTAAAGGTATATATATATATTATTCTATGTATTTTTTATTTGTATTAACATTAGTAAATAAAGACATGAATTTGTAAACTATTAGGTCCTACAAGTGAATACTATATGATTTTGCAATTTGCTGAAGATGGAAATTTACGAGAATATTTGAAGAGACATTTTTCAAGCCTCCAATGGACTGACAAACTACGCTTTGCTAGAGAAATAGCACGGGGTCTTTATTGGTTGCATTCTAACGATTTTGTTCATCGTGATCTTGTAAATATGTCAACATTTTTAGTTTTAAAGCAATTAATTATAACGTATATTAGTAACATATTTATTTAATGTTATAGCATTCCAAAAATATCCTGATTCATAAAGGAACAATGAAGATTGCAGATTTTGGATTATCTAAGAGAATAGATGAGACATCAACAAATTCATTAAAAAAAGGCGTGTTAATATATATTGATCCTCAGTGTTTAATTGATGGTAATTTTAAACGTGGCAAGGCGTCTGATATATATAGCCTTGGAATCATTTTCTGGGAGATTTCTAGTGGACGTAAACCATTCTCTGATGAAACAGACCCTATTCACTATATTTGGGAAGGAAAAAGAGAAAACTGTATTCCCGGTACACCACCTCAATATAATGATCTATATACACGATGTTGGAATGCTGAACCTGATAAACGCCCAGAAATAACAACTGTTATTGAAATTTTGGATAAGCTTGATCAGCATGAAAATTTAGATCAGTTTAATCAGCATGAAAATTTGGATCAGTTTAAACATCATATTTCCGATAATTGCCAAAATGATATAATTCATCGCCAAATTAAAGCAATCCTAAACGATAACCTTCCTCATTCGCAAGATTATCAAATTGAAAATTTATCCCGATTAATAAATGAAAACTCAAAAGGTGCGTTTTTATTAAGAAGGATACGTGGTGTAATTTATCGTGAAAAGTGCGAGTATCAAAAATCATTAGTAGATTTTGAAAAATTGTTAGAAATTAATCCAAAAGACACATTTGCATTGGGACAACGTGGAGCCACTAATCACATGTTGAACAAACATGAAGAAGTACTTTTAGATTTAGGCAAATTACTAGAAATTGAACAAAATAATGCATGGGCGTTGAAATTACGTGGAGCAATTTATTATATGATGAAAGATTATGATAAATCACACGAAGATTTAGAAAAATCATTAAAAATTAAGCCAAACGACGCATTTGCATTACGATTTCGTGGTGCAACTTATCTAATGATAAACAGATGTAAAGAATCCCTTTCAGACTTAAACAAATCATTAGAAAGTGAACCAAATAATGCATTTGTATTAACGATCTGCGGAGCAATTTATCGTGAGATGAGAGAATATGAAAAATCACTAGACAGTTTAAATAAATCACTAGAAATTGAAAAAAATAATGCATGGACATTAAGAGAACGTGGAGTGACTAATCGCATGATCAAAAGATACAAAGACTCACTTGAAGATTTAAATAAATCATTAGAAATCGAGCCAAATAAAGCATTTGCATTAACTAACCGTGCAGCAATATATTGCATTATGGGCAGAAATGATGAATCATTTATCGAGAAAGGCTGTCCAGGAGAATGTTGTTGCAAGGTAGGAAGATATGATAAAGCGCTGGCAGATTTAAATAAATCACTAAAAAATAAACCAAATGATACATTTGCATTGGGAATCCGTGGAAAAATTCATCTTATGATAGGAAAATATGATGAATCTCTAAAAGATCTGAACAAATTATTAGAAACTGATTCAAATAATGTCGATGCATTAAATAATCGCGGGATAACTCATCGCAAGTTGAGTAATTATGACAAATCGCTCTTAGATTTAAATAAATCATTGGGAATTAACCCAAATGATATATTTGCCTTGAAACATCGTGGTGTAACATACCGTAAAATGAAAAACTATAACGAATCCCTTTCAGATTTAGGAACAGCACTAAAGTTTGATCCGAATGATACATTTACATTAAAACAATATGCAAAAGCTGATCGTCTAAAGAATAATACTAAAACTAAATTTTTTTATTAAAAAATGTTAGAATTATAATAAAGATGTATGAATTTACTATAAACTTTGAGCTAAATATTCTTTTTAACTTAACTAAGTAATTTAAAATTAAATTTTGCGATTATATAGAACAAAAAAGAAGAAAAAATCTAGCTTAAAAAACTAAATTAAACTTCTGTTAATTTTGCATAATTTGAAGATGTAATTTTGCGAAAAATAAATATTTTCCGATTTTTCCGATTTTAAAGCAATTATTGTATATGTAAAATTATACTTTGAACAATTTTACTTAGAAGGTAAAAGTAGGATAACTTAGTGAAAAAACTGAGTTAGTTATATATTAAAGTTAAAATTTTTTGTTTATATATATATAATTTTTTTTACTAAGTTAATCTATTTTGATTTCTTAAATAAACTTGTTCAGCATAAAATTGTATATACATATTTCTGTCAAAATACATTTTCTTAGATCTTTTATTTTTATTTTTATTTTTTTATTTTAGCATTTAAAGTTTTTTTTTATTTTATTTTTTTATATTTAAAGGTCTGTATTTTATAGTGATATTTTATGATATATTTAAGATTAGCTTATGCAATTATTTTTACAAAGATAAGAGTACAACTAGTTATATATGCAACTTTTAGTTGCTTATTTAAGTAGTTTGTTCTAGAGTTTACACCAAATATTATATCTATAATCTACTAGAAGATTATTTATTTAAACTTTCTAATTATCTGCTTCATCAATTATATTACTGTTATAAATCTTTTATATATACTTAGCTGATTAAAGTTTGTAATAATTATTGAAAATAAATAAATAATCTTTAAGAAATTAATTATATTCTAATATTTTTTTATTGAAATTACTAAATTAATAAGTGATAGCAATTACTTTATATTCAACTTTGTGTGATTAATTATTATTATTATTTTTAAATATTAAAGTAAGTACTTGTAATACAGAATTTTATTGATAGTACATTTAGCTAAAGGTTGCATTATAACTACAGAAGGCAACTATGAAAAGAGTATACAACTAGTCACTTGTACAACTTTAGTTATTGTCTAATTTAAGTAGTTCACTCAAAGGTTTTACATTAGCTGTTATACCTAGAACCTGCTTGTAAATTTTCTATTTAAACACTTTAGTTCTTATATTCACCCATCTACCTACACTTACCAAGATGCTTTAGTTGATACCAATGCAAATATGTCATGGTTATTAAGTTTTTAAAATGGTTTACTCATATAGGAAACCTTTGATCTTATATTAAACCTTTTAGAATCTTCTATATCCTATTCTTACAGTTGACCTGATATTACTTTAGCCAAGACCAATACTTGTAGTCAGGATATATCATTAAACTGCTATACCCTTGTAGAGTTTACTTTAATTCTGTACTGATTTTATAACATATTTCTATTACTTTGGTATTCAATTTAAGTTTCATCAGCTGTTATTTCAGATAGTCTAGAAAAGTAGACTATAACTGCATCTTTAGTTTATATGTTTTCTGACATGTACTCTTTTTCTTTAAAATTCAGAAATTTTAGTAGCCTGGTTGGTTCATCTGTTCCTTTTTAAAGATCAGTATATTTGTCTAATTTTACAAGTTCTAGCTTCATTTTATAGATCTAGTCTTTATAGTAGCACTATCAAAAGTTTGGATTACCTCTTTACTCAGGTCTTTCAAGTAGACTTCTATTTTTCTATCTGGTTTCTGTGATTTACATAGTCTAAGAACTTATTATAGGTTTACATTGCCTGATACCAGTTTGTGTTTTTTTATACAACATTGTATGAATGTCTAGACCTTTTAGTCATGTTAGTATAATATGGGTTACAGATATCTAATCTCTTTTTTTTTATATTTTTTTTTAAATATTAAGGTGAGTACTTGTGACTTAGAATTTTATTAATAGTTGCATTACAACCACAGGGGGCAATCATGAAAAGAGTATACAACTAGCTACTCATACAACTTTAGTCATTGTCTAATTTAAGTAGTCTGCCTGAAGGTTCTATACTAGCTGCCATACCTGGAACCCACTTGTAGGTTCCCTATTTAACCACTCTGTTCCTGTATCCACCTACCTACCTACACCTACTAAGATATCCTAATTGATACCAGTTCAAATATGTCATGGTCACTAAGTCTTTAAAGTGGTTCACTCATATGGAGAACCTTTGACCTTGTACTAAACCTTCCGGAATCTTCTGTATTCCATTCTTATAGCTGACCTGGTATCACTATAATTGAGACTAATACTGGCAGTCAGGGTGTATCATTAAACCACTATGCTCTTGTAGAGTTCACTCCAATCCCAGTACTAACTTCACAACATATCCTTACTATTTTGATATTCAATTCAAGTTCCATCAAGCTGCCATTCCAGATAGCCCAGAAAGGTAGGTCAAAACTATACACTTCTGGTTTACATGTTTGCCAGCATGTGCCTTTTTCTTCTGGAACCTGAAAATTTTGGTAGTCTGGTTGGTTCATCTGGTTCCTCCTCAAAGACCAGCACATTTGCTCAGTTTTACAAGTTCTAGCTCCATTTCATAAGTCTAGTCTTTACAGTAGCACCGTCGAAGGTTCAGGTTACCTTTTTACTTGGGTCTTCCAAGTGGGCTTCCATCTTCCTACCTGGTTTCCTTAATTTACATGGCCTAAGAACTTATCTTGGATTTACACTGCCCGATACCAGTTTGTATTCCCTCGTACAACATTGTACGAGTGCCTTAGACCTTCCAGTTATGCTGGTATAACATGGGTTACAAATATCCTATTCTAACCAATCACAGAAGACAGTTAGCCATAACACAGAAAGAATTGCAAATTTTTCACCATTATTGGGATTTGAACTCTAGACCTGCCATTTGAGGGTTAACAACCTATCCACTTTACTAGTCACCACACCCCTGGTATCTAATCTCAAACAATTATGGAATATAGTTAACTATAATACAGAAAGAATTACAAATTTTTATCATTATTGAAATTTAAACTCTAGACTTATCACTTGAAAGTTGATAGCTTGACTATTTTACTAGGTTGTCACACCTTATAAAAAACATTAATAAAGTATTGCAAAATATGTAAGATAAAAAGATTTTTAAAAAGAAAAATATAATATAGATATTAAATTAGTTAAAAAGAAAAATACTAATTTAGAATTAATTAAAATTAAAAGTTACAGTAAAAACAGATAGAATGATAGAATGAACTTTCTTGTGAAAAAAAATATAAATTGCAAAGAAGTAGTTAAATAGAAAAGCTTAAATGTAAGAAAATAGAGTACAAACTAGAGTGAGAAAATAAAAAAAAATAAATATACTAGCAAGACTTCTTTATAAAATAATTGCAAATATCAAAATAAGAGCTAATTGGAAAAATACAAAATTAATCAGAAGTTTGAAACTAGAAACAAAACACATACTTTACAACTAGTTAAGTTTTTGAAAAAAAGATAATTAGAACAAAAAAAGTACATTGTACCTCAAAAAAATTAAGTACAAAAAGAGTCATAGTGATCAAATATATAATAAATAGCCGAGGATGGCAATCCTAGTGTAGTGGTTGGGTTGTCATCCTCCAAGTGGTAGGTCTAAGGTTCAAATCCCACCTACGACGAAATTTGGAAATTAT